ATATTGCATCATGTTTGCATGTTTGCATGTTACTTAGCTAAGTTGCATTACATAGTCTTGTTGTATACTTGACATGTTCATATTGCATTAGTGTAGCCTTGCATGAGTTGCATCACTTTGCATTGTATATGGCACACATGCATTGCATTGCTTAGTTTGGGGTGTCAAACCAAGCATGAGGGGAGAGGTGTGTTCGTACCTGAAGTGACGAAACACGTCTCAACCCTCGGTCGCCAATACCCTTGATCTCAACATGATAGGGTGTTAGCACTCATTTGTTTGTTGCATGCATGTACATTAAGTTGCTAACTTGGCTTCTTAGGCCATCATGCTTCGAATTGTGTAGTTGATGGCTCGAGGGTCGAGGGCCATGCTCACATTTGCTTGAAAATTCCATACCATACATTGCTTGCCCTCTACTGCTGTCAACTGCAGGATTCTGCAGAAAGAAGTGGCCGGCCGGCCACCTACAGTGCCGACCGACCATCAGTGGCTGGCCGGTGGTACAACAGTTGGCCGATAAGCCCATTACCATGGCCGGTGAACTTTAATTCTGGCCGGTGACATCCCAAAGCACTCAGAGGATGATTTAAAAGCGGTCTGGAGACTTTCAGAATTTTCAGAGGAGCAAGGCAGTGAAAACAGAGGCAGCAGTGCTATGGTAGCGGGTTTCCGAGCGAGACGAGTCAAGCATGCATCATTCACACATTCCGAGGTAGGGCTGCAGCCACCTTCCTTCTGCATTTAATTTGTTAATTAGTTAGGAATTCTGTAATAATTAATTTAGTGGTATTCATTTGGTTGTGTAATATTTATTCAGAGCCCCCGAAGTGAGGGCAATTGTGTAATAAGTGTTTAGAAATTCTGTAATAATTAATTTAGTATTATTTATTCGGACTGTAATATTTATTTAGACCTCCCGAGTGAGGGCAATTGTGTAATAAGTGTGCGTGAGTGTGTGTATGTCTCCCAACCCCACGTCTTTCTTCCCTTTTATTTACTAGCTTTCGATGGTTAGTCTAAGGCATGTTTCAATTAGCATACAGTATGATACATGTTTGCATCCATTCATTTGTTTTGCATGCACCAGGCTCGGCGCATCATTCTAACTGCATTTGTATTTCAATTCCAAATTGAATACATGTTAGTTGTAGCATTTCACATGTCATTATAGATTAGCCGAGCCTATCTTAGTTGCATTTTGCATGTGTTGCATTAGCCATCTTAACATGAACTAGGATCATGCATATGATTACTAACTAGTTTCTGTTTTGGCTCGGAACTTTGTGTATAACTAAAAAAAGTCTTGTATTTACATGCTTAAGATACTTCATTAAGGTTGTTTTGGTGTTGGGGGTACTCCATTGTAATCACACTCATCCTTGCATGCGTGTGAGTGTTGCCATGACAGCATACTTACCATGACGCTATTTGCTTATGTGATATAATTGCTTGAATGCCTGTGGGTGGAGGTTGAATTACCTAAATTGGAATAATGCATTAAAACTGTGAGTTTTAAGCCCACTAGATAGTGGCAAAACCATCTTTTCTAAAGCCCACTTGAGGGTGGCAAAACCTGCATTTTAGCCTACTTGCGAGTAGCAAACCATTTTCAAAACAAACATGCAATGTTTTGTTCCAATTTAGGCGATTTGGTCTATACTTGTTTGCTGTGCGCATAACATAGTAATTCTAGGCTAATAACCGGATTAAGAACGCATAACGTTTCAAAACTGGATATCATGGTTTGTAGAGGCCGATCTTCGGATCGGGCAAGAGGGGGTGCTCATAGCTGACCTTCCTCAATCGTACCCAAGTTCCCGAGCCAAAGCAACTTTGGTGATGACGGACACGTGGCCTTAGGCAAACGAGTCAGGGTTTTCTAAATTCCCCCAAAATAAAATATTTAGGTGGTGACTCTGTATCTGGCAAAGCAGTCCATGTTTGGCACTTCTTTACAAAAATCTGTTTTTCAAAACGATTTGCCGAATTTGGACTCTTTGACGATTCATCGGTCTTGCATTGCACTCTGCGAGATTAGATACAGGACCGTGACTTTGAGTCCTGAACTGTAGTGAGCCCATATGAATAGAATGGGGGATTCATCCTCCCGGGATGTTCGGGGACGTCTACACTCTACACACTATTGCTCTGAATATTGCCATCAATGATCTATAGTGTGAAGTTTGATGTAATCTTACATCAACCTTAATATCATGCACACCTATCTTTCACAGTTTTGGCTCTTTCTTTTTTAGTCCATCTTTTGAGAATATGTTGTAAAGGAATCTCTTTGAACTTGAGCGTGTCTCTAAGGATCTTCAAACAATGACTACACAAAATGCCCTTCATTTTGAAACTTCCTACAATTGCAAGTCAATGAACCATTACACTCCACTCTCACCTTCCTTATCTTTACACCATCACTATCAAGAACCATATACACGGTACTCTCACCATCATGTTTAGTTTCTTCAATGTTTACTTCAAGGGACTTGATGCACTCATCCAAAATTTTTGCATAAATTTTATTAGTGTAAACATCTGCAGCTTGTTCCATCATCTTCACTTTTATATTCACCTTTGGCAACTTTTGGCATAGAGCATATTCGGCTTATAACTCTTTGTACCTTTTCTCACAAAGAACTTGATCAAAATGCATGAAAATTGCATTAAGTTATGATTAGACTGAATGAAATCCTTTAAGAAAGCATTAAATGATTCACTAAGTTGGGTGCTACTCATGCCCGCACCCCATGCATTTCTAACATATGGCCAACCCCATTTTTTCTTGACCCCAAATTTTAACTTCAACCAATGATTATCTCGCACTTCATACTTGTCAAGCATTTCCCCTCCATTTTAATGTAAACTCTTTTTCATCCTCAATGTCGTACATAAATTTGGATAAAACACTCTTCATCCCCTTATCCTTGGCCTCCTTATCATTAAAGATAGAATTTGCATGCCTTAATGCATTTTGCATCAAATGCCAAGTGCAAAGGCAGTGTTTGTGTTAGGTATGACAACAGGTATGGCCTTAGCCATTGCAGCATCCTAATTTGTAAAAATTGTTTTTGGAGCCTTACTTGAAATTGCCTCCAAAAATCTTATAAAAAGCCATATAAAAGAATTGGCGGTCTCATCATACATTAAAGCTGTGCCAAATATAACAGTTTCCTGATGATGGTTAAATCTAACGAAAGACGCAAATGGTCTATGTTCACTATTTAACTTATAAGTAGTGTCAAAAGTCACAACACCCCCAAATTGCCCATTATCCATGATCATTTGAACATCGGCCCAAAATATGTTTGTAATCTGCTCATCGTTATTTAGGCCAAGTTTGGGAAGACTAAAAAAGTGCACTTTTTGTCTTTTTAGACTAAAAAATTGAGGTTGAAAATATGGATGTTTGGGTTAACTTTTTGACTTTTTATTGAAAAATGTGTAATAAAAAATTGTAAAAATTGATTTGTAGGGAAAAATTTGAATTGGGAGTTGTGCAGCCGTAATTGTTGACTTTTGGTGAATAGTGTTAACTTTTTAACTTTTTGAGTAACTTTTTGACTTTTTGACTTTTTTGGATCTTCCCAAACTTGCCCTTAATTGGACCGAGTAAAAAAAAGATGGATTCTCTAATGTTTTCTCATGAAAATATTGCAAAATGCTACATGCCTCCCCATATTCTAAACACTTTTGCCTCTCTGTTCTCAAATAATTTTTTTGGTCTAGTTTTGTGAACCCAAGCGACTCCTTTCCACTAGTTTCATTACCCATGAGCTCAAATCCAGCATTAAGACAGATTCTAGATTTTTCGGTTAAATCTATTTCGATTGCCTGTAAAGAAGATATCTTCCTTTGGGATGGTAACATATGCGCACATTATGCTGGTACAAAGATATGGTTATGTTGTTCAACAAAATCACCAACAAAAACTTTCACAGCCAGTCCTCACTTCCTGCCTAGGATTTTTTTGTTAACGGATCTCGCTTGTCAATAATCCGAAACCCCTCCTTATTACAAATAAATTGCCTTGAAGTGATTTTCCCCTCCTTGTTCTTATTTAGATAACCCCTTCTAATATTAAAACCCAGCTTTCCTCCATAAGTATTGTAGAAATCATATGCTTCTTGTTTCGTATCAAATGTCATGCGAATTGTAGGCTTCCAATCACAATCAGCCCTATTATTCTCAACATTGTTAGGTTCCATTTTAATGTGCCAAGTCACTAAAAAAATAAAGGGCAAACTTCACCTTACCCCCCTGTGGTTTGGGCCAGATGCGATTTACCCCCTGACATTCAAAAATCACCACATAACTCCCATGTGATTTCTGGACCAAGGTGCAACGTCAGCTTTTCCATCTAAATTAACGGAATGTGAGGCCCATGTGTCTAGAAGGAGAGTAAGTTGATTTTTAAGATTAAATTACCCCTCATTCACCTTCAAATTTAAAAAATATACCATTACCTTGAAAATCAATTACATATATATATATATATATATGAATACATATATGGATATACAAGTAGAGAGAATGATAGAGGAGAGAAGATGGGGGAAATTGTACAAATCAATCTCCTCACTATCTTAGAGCTGTCACCACTCCATTTCCCTTCGTCATACCCTCGTAACAGATCAACATGTTCATGATCTGGAAAATATTCACGATTTGGAAGTTGATTTTTGATTACTATGATCTAGAAGTTTGATTGACAATTTGTTTTAATTTTTTCATTGGCACTGTGTATATATAGATATGCCCTATATGTATAGATATGCACTGTTATATATAATATGGGATACAAATACATATATATACGCAGATATAAGTACACTTATTATTTTATTTTTAAGGATATAAGTATAATTAGAAATTAACTTCTACATTGTTTTCATATATACTGTGTATATAGTATAATTATATTATTTATTAGATAATATAATATGAAATTAAATTAGAAACGAAGTTAATAAAAAAGTTATAAAGATGTGATAATGGTTGAGGAAGAAAGATGCAGGGAGACAAACAATAGAGAAATGAGGGAAGAAGAAAGGTGCAGGGAGAATAATAGAAAAATGCAGGTAGATTTTGGATTGGGTTTGATATGTATATATGGATTGGGTTTGATATGTATACATAATCAAGAAAAATGGGTTTGGATTTCTATATGTGAACTAGGTTTGTATATGATTAGAAAATTGGGTTTGGATTTGTATATGTGAACTGAGTTTGTATATGATCAAGAAAAAGTTTAGGCAGTGAACTGTGAACTGGGTTTGATATGTATATATGTATATATGTATATGTATATGTATGTACACATGATCGAGAAAATGATGAAGATGAGATTGTATATGTATATATATATATATATATGTTTGTACACATATAAAGTTTGGGTAGAGGTTTCGCTTAAAATGGAGAGAGAGCGAAGAAGAAGATGCAGATGAGAGTATAATTGTCAATTTACAACTTTTGTTAACAGAAGTTAGTGTGCATTTCAATCCAGTAACCACATGAGGGTTATGTGGGGATTTACGAATGTCAGGGGGTAAACCGCACCCGACCCAAACCATAGGGGGTAAAGTGAAGTTTGTCAAAAAATAAATAAGTGGTCAATATTAGCATAAAAACACTAAATTATGTTTCCAAAATAAATAAAAACACTATAAGAGTTGACTTATAGCAATTAAATTACATAGACCCAGTTGGGCTGTCCTTCTCCTAACCAACCCATCTTTTATGAATCTCATTTTTTTATTTTATTTTATTTTGTAAATTCTTCTACCCCTTTTGAACGTCATAACACAATGAAATTTCTGGGTGAAACAATTAATTCAGCATTGTGAATAATTCAAATTGTAAAAATTAAAATAGTGTATTTCGAAAATTTAAAAGGTAAAAAAAAGGGCATGGTAACAAAAGAGGGATGCCTTTATTATACTAGAACTTTGCAAACTCCTTTAGCTGTTCTACAAATAAAGATATATTATCATAAATAATTCTCAGTCAGTTCATACACAGATACATAGTTAGATTTCACAACAAAATAAAAAACAAAAAAAATCAAAACCCTAAAAATAAATTTCAAAAAAATCATGTAAAAATCTCTCAATCAACACATTCAACAACCATTAAAAAAAAATCTAAATTTTTCAAATCAAAACCCAAATATTGGAGAATTTTTTGAGGAGTAAAAAACCTGTATTTTACTTGAATCGGCTGTAGCAGGGTGTTGGCGACGGCAATGCGTCGGGAGGTAGGGAGGAGGCAGTGTTGGCATCGTCGTCAACGGCGTCTCTCTCGTCTTCTCTCTCTCTCTCTCTCTCATACTATGTTTTTGTTGATCTGCGTATATACGAATATTGCAGAGGCACATGTGAGGAAAATTTGAAAATTTTTTTTTCTTCAATTTACTCACTAAAACGACGTTGTTTTGGTAAGTCTGAATCTCAGCCCTTGGAGGCTGAGTGGGACACGTGTTAGCCATCCTCCTCTCACTGTAGGAGATCAGTTAGGAAATCACTCTAGAGGATCTTAACGCAATAAAAAGTACATAATCCTATTATTTAGAGTGTGTAGACATCCTATTTTTGACCGACCTTAAGTCTCAGACGTCATCGATTGAGTGCTCAGTGATTGCGCATGTTGTGCTCGTTCTGAGGTTTCGGAGTCTCGGCTGAGAACCTTGCCTCCGGACTTCGAGACTCTTTTGTGCTTTGCCTCGATTTGCGAATCAGGTTCTGTTTTCTCTTCCCGAAGGGAGAGAGAGGTCTCGTAGACCATCTCTCAGTGGCCGTAGGCTACTTTTCGTGGTCGTAGACCACTGTTCCTGTTTGGAGACTAGTTTCCGATTTTCAAACCCGTCAGTCGTGCGCCTCGGTTCGGGACTGCTTAACTTTGTCCATTTGCTCCGGTTTTTGGCACACACCTTGTTTTCTCTCTCTAGAGGGACACTGTGGCTCGGGAGACCACCTTTGTGGTCGCACGCCACTTTCGATGCTTAACAGTCAGTTTTTGGGGCACCCGGCTACGCGTTTTGGCCCTCGAACCCTAGTTTTGCATCCGTCTTGGTTCATTTTTGGCATGGACCGTATTTTTATTGTTTGGAAGGTAGTACTAGGGTGGAAGACCACATTTTCTTCTTGGAGACCACCTTTCTCTTCACCGGCCGGTTTTCTTGATAGGAGGCTGGTCTCCTTGGTTTTTGAGCCACATTTACTGGTCTTCCACCATACCACTTGCTTGCATTTCGTGTGGAGACCACCCTAGGAGGCTGCTGACCACTTGAACCTTTTGACCCTGGTCGGCTGACCAGGGCAAGTGGTCGGCCGACCACTTGAACTGGTCGGCCTACCTCCCCCAGTCTTGTCTTAGTGAGTTGATTCCAGCTGTGCCAGCTGGGAGGCACAGACTGGATCCTCCATAAAGGAAGGCCTCATCTTCCTTTGCAAGGGTTCTAAATTTGGCTGAAGCATACACACATACATCCCCCCCTTGTCTCTATATTTTGTGTTCAAAAGTGCTAAGTTCTTGCCCCTTTGCACACTACCTCTTAGCCTAACACCTCCAACACCAATCTAAGCTTCGTGGAGGGTCTTGAGAGGTCCTAAGGAGCTGCATTTTTGGTCCATAAGCTGCTGGAGTTGCTGAGCTACAAGGGTAACATCCTATTCCCTCTTTTGAGTTTTATTTTGCTCCATCTTTTATCCATACTTTCAAGCATTTTTGGGCTTTGGTGTAAACTGAAAAAGTCTTATTTCAAGGTCCTTAACATGTTTGTTTAAGATCATTTTTCTGTTGGGGGTCATCTACCCCCTCGCATGCTTCATTTCACCTTATTTTGAGCCATGCATTAAGGCCTTTGTTTTGAGCTTTGTTTGCCCTTTTGACCACTGAAATCCAGCGGATTTTCAATGGTTATTATGTGGTTTTGAGAGCCAAAATCAGAGAGGGGTGACCCTCTCTCTCCTTGTTTTGATTTCTAGCATATTTGGCCTAACAAAAGAGCCCTTATTTGCATGCTTCCAAGCCATGTTTCAGACCATTTTTGGCGAGTTTTAGGACCTGAATAGGCTCTGTCCAGAGCTTGTTTTTCCATATTGGGTGTCCATCTTGCATGTGTAGAATAACCCTCTTCATAGCCGATCAAAGGAGCATGTCATTCTTGCATGCATTGACCATGTTTCAATGAGTTTTTGGGCTTTATTTGGCATGTAATACCTCTGAATTTTTCTTGTTTAGTGACCTCTTGAATGCTTCATATACTTGTAGTGTAAACCCTCTTCACTAGCTTGTATTGCATACTATTTTGGTCTTTGATTCTAGCACTTTTTGGCCATGCCTTAGACTGATTTTGTGCATGTTTTGGACTGCCTTAGCTTTGTTTTTATGCCTCATGGTCGAATGATGCTTGCTATGCATGGTTGTAATGTAATACCCTTGCCTAGCCTTGAGTTTTGAAGCCTATTGCATGCTTATACTGAGGTGTTTTCATGTTTTGAGGCCATTGAACATGTCATTTCAGAGCCTACATTTGTGCCATATTCTCATGTTTTCCATTCTTTGAACGTGTTTGAGAGTTGTGCATGAATACCTCATTTATGGACCATTGCATGAGCTTCATTTCTATGCATTTTGAGCCATCATTTTAGACCATCTTCCCACTGTCTTGGACTTGCATAGGGACTGTTTGGGGCTGGTTGGGTCATTTGAGCATTGCTTTGTGTACCTCTAGTGTAATGCACTTCACTAGTTTCGGTATCCGGGCCATCTAGCATGCATTGTGTGAGGTGTTTATCGCATTGTGTATGCCTTGATTATGCCTTTGTGTATGTCCATCGTTATATGTGCGTTGTGTATGCTATATAGCGTCATGTGCATTGAGTATGCCATTCGTAGTTCATAGCATTGCGTATGCTAGTTGCACCTTTGCATGTCATTCCTTGCATGTTTGAATGTCTTAGTTACATTTCGTTTAGGATTGCATGCTAGTTTTTGCATTTGTATATGCCATGCCATATTATTTGTTGCATTGTGTTCGGGATAGGAGTTAGTCCGAACACGGGAAACGAGGGATGTTTCGTACTCAAAGTGACGAAACGTGCTTCGATTCTTGGGTCGCCGACACTCTTGACTACCCATGATAAAGTTGTTGGCTTTAGGTGTTTACATGTGCATTCATTTCACATTGAGTCGTGCACTTCGACTCCTCGGCCATCATGTGTTGAGATGTGTGATTGATGACACGAAGATCGAGGACTACACTCCCTAGAGCTGATGCAATGACGGGAAGAGTGGTCAGGCACACATATGTTGAAAATACTTTGTTTTCTCTCTCTCTTGCCTTTGTTGCAGAAAATGCAGAAATCGAGAGAAGAAACCGGTCGACCGACCAGGTTTCCTGGCAAGCCAACTACCTTTTTTGGTTTTCACCACCAAGGGTGGTTGGTAGGTGGTTTCCAATGCCTATAGCTGGTCAGTAGCCTTCCTCTATAGTTTGATCTCCTTGGAGCTTCGCGCAAGTTTCTGAGTTCAATTGCAAACAAAGGTAAGCCGGGGCATCGCGATGGATTTCTCGACAAGGCAACTCGAACATGCATGCATCCATTGTCTTCCAATACAGAGACGAGGCAGCCCGCATTCATTTAGTTTACTTACTTACTTAGTTAATTTATTAATTACTTAATGTTGTGTAATATTTAGTTGCAATTCGTGATTCATTTCGGTTGTGTAATAACTAGTTTAATTAGCTTAGGTTAGCTAGTCGGTGTTGTATTATTTATTCAGACTCTTCGAGAGAGGGCAATATTGTAATAAGTGTGCGTGTGTGTGATGTATGTCTTCCAATCTCACGTCTTTCTCCCTTTTATTTACCAGCTTATGCTGGTTAGTTTTAGGGCATGTTTCAATTAGCATCTATATGTTCGCATGTTTGCATTCATTCATTTGTATTGCATGCACCGGGGTCGGCGCATCATGCTAATTGCATTGTATTTCAATTCCAAGTTGAATACATGTATCGATTATTGCATCTCATATGCCATCTTAGAATAGCCGAGCCTATTGTAGTTGTATTTTT